GCCCCGGAGGCAGTGAGAAGTGCAGGGAAATTCCTTTGGCTTTCTCCCCTCGACTCGGAGAAGTAAGGAGGAGGGAACAATCAGGAAGGAAAGAAAAAAAATCATTCTGTCTGCACCTCAGTCTCTGCTGAGTGGGTTAGTTTTTTATTTTATTTTAGATCATCTCATACTCAATTAGAGGTAAGGTTCCCGCATGACGCACCATTCAATGATGAAAGTGCTGATGCACGAAAGAAAAAAAACAAAACAAAACAAAAAAATTTGACAGAATATCACGTCTAGAAGTAAAATGGAGTTTTGCTTCATTTTCACACAGAGATTGAAKGATTCTTCACTAGAGTGTTTTAAAACGCACCATCGAGGGGGTACTTGAACTTGTCAGATCACATCCGAGGAAGCATTCCTTCACAGACTGAGAAATTCCCTTTCCGTTTGGGGCAGGGTCGTTTTTTTTTAAATAAAATAAAATAACACAAAAACATTGTGGTGTTTATATATAGAAATATATGTGTGCAGATTTGGTGAAGCGTCTTGTTGCTGCTTTAATCCAGAAGTTGTGCAACGAAAAAGGGCTGATGGGATCTTGTGATCGCGCAGAGATAAGGCCTTGGTTGCGCAACGCGTGCGTGACCTTGCACGTTTACAGTAGTGCCACTTATATAGTGTGTGTTTAAGATAGTGAAGGACACTGCGTGATTTTGCTCGTTGACCACATGATTCACAGGGACCGTGCGCAATGCTCGAGGCAGGCGGGTGTCTAGTTTTGAATTATAGTGTGTGTGGGGGGGGGGGGGGGGGGGGGCTTCAAAGATGGAGAAAGGGGGGAGCAGACGGTGCAGAATGCGCCCCTCGGGTTTTACTAGCTAGTCTAACTTGAACTTGACCATGGAGTCTGCGCAGTGCGCATGTAATCCAATCCATGGAAGCRCAGAGCAGCACGAAAAGGCACGGAACTTGTGGTGGATTTACGCACGGATGATGGATGCTCAGTCCGCCTCATGTAGATTTATTTATTGTTTACATAAGGAACCTGGAAGAAAGAAAGCAAAAACATAAATCAAAGTCTGGCCTCTTCTTCTTTTTTTCTTCTTCTTTTTTTTTTTTTTTTTGTGGCCCCTCCCGTTTCGGTTGCTTCAACTTGGCCTTGAAACAGGATGACGCAGCGGACGGAGAGTTAACTCGTTGACCTTGGAGAGAAGTGACTAAACCAGGAGAAGCCCTCTCTGTCTATATTTTTCTCTCAGTCAAGCGCAAGAACAACGTCAAGTGAGAGATCAGGCCTGTTCTGACCAAGTAAAGTTTGAAAGGGAAATGGGGGGGGGGGGGGGTAGTAAGGGGTGGGAGACACAGTTTATCACCCATAGCCAGCAGTAGCGAGGCGACACACCAGGTGCAAAGCCCCCGCGCCTTTCCTCACACAGCCCCGTGCGTCCCAGGCATCCAAGAAAGGTGATATTTACAAGTCTGTCTGCTGGCAAAGAGCTGGGGATGGTGTGTGTGTGTGTGTGTGTG